ATGTTTTCCACAATTGGTTTGTTAATTGGTAAATCACATGTTCCAACTTGTAATAATGAGACTGTTGTGATATTCAGATTATTTACTTTACAATCATATCCTATTATTTATTGTGATTTTGGTATGAATATTATTGCGATAATTATCATGACTCGTTTTATCTTCCTCATGAACATATCAATAATTGAATCCTATAATAGAAATCTATTTTTAATTGTTGAGACTAACGTAATATATTCTCGCATAGCGTAGTGTAGATATGATAGTGTCCAGACTGTATTAATATCAGTTTCCACATTCTTTTTGAAACGCGAATCTTCTTATCGACTTGTGACTATTGAACTCTTTATTTCCTTTCCCTTCTACCTGTCTATAAAACATTGTGCTCCCGCGATTCCTGTTCATTACTTGTTCGACATTGAGTATAACTTAACGAAATAGTCAACATGTTTAATTTTTTCCTATTCATCCTATCGTTTCTATTGGAACTTCCTACGAGGGAAACTGAGCGTCCTCCGGCAAACGGACGAAATCAGGAAGAAGCTCGCGACTTTGTAAGTATTACGAATTTGTTATCGATATTATTTATTATTTATTCATTTCGTTTTTACTAATTTTGTTTATTTCCAGGAATTCTTTGACACCCTTCCGAACCATCTAAACGGTCACGAAGAGGTTGTTGACTTGCCAGACGAGTGGCTTCAGCTCCCTGCCCCACAAATGTCCAGGATTCTCAGCCATATTAACATTGGCGAAGTAAGAGGTCCTGGATATTTTTTCTATCCGGGGATAGGGGACTACTTCTGGTTCGTCACTACCGGGATTCGGGTAAGGCCCGCCGTTCCGGTAGCAGAGATTCAAGAGGGAAGGCGACTGTTCCGTCCGCGAGATCCTCCTGCCCCATTGCGGAGACCTCACAACCCTCCTCGGTGAAAGTGGACAATGTGGACAATTTTATTAGTGATGTTTTGTGTTTTGGATTTTATTTCGAAGTTCTTTCATATTCATATTCAAAATTCTAAACTTTACAAAATTTAAAAGTGTCATTTAGTAGATTATATAAGATATAGTATATAGATATAGTATAAATATTTTTAACAATTCTTTATATATTTCCAATTTTATTTGTTAAAATAAAATATAATCATTTATTTTTAAAATATTTGTTTTCCCCTTTTTATTTTAAGATCCCTATTCCGACATCAATTTCCTTTAGTTGTTTAATATTGATAAGTAAAATAATGA